TAGATTACGCAATATTTACTGAGTGTTCAATCTGAGCAGTCAAATATCCCAACGGTCTTACTATGGCTTCATTTTCCGAACGCGTGTGCGATAGAGATATGACATTCTCAGATAAATCTTATTTCCTATGTATACCCTGCATGTTTTGTTGCAAATGCGTGTGCCCGCCTTTTTTTCCTGCTGCGATGAATTTCACTTCCTTGATATAGCTTCCAGTCATTCATACCTTGAAATCTGAGAAATGTTTATTTGAGACGCTGTTGTGTCACGCAGCAATGATAATCATCTGCTTTTGTTGCTTTTAGGGGTGAAGCTACTTATGGCGTGGTTTGTGCATCCCTCGTTGTAGTGCGTAACCACCGGTGGCACATACCCGAAAGAGTGGTCCGTAGAATATCCGCTGGATGGCGGCACTTGTATATGATGAATACACGATGAAAAGACGCGAGATGGCTGTACTTGGAGTGTCCACTAGATAGACGGACGGATGGGCGGACGGACATACAGATGGACGGACGGACTGATGGACACATGGACAGACAGACAGACAGACAGACAGACAGACAGACAGACAGACAGACAGACAGACAGACAGACAGACAGACAGACAGACAGACAGACAGACAGACAGACAGACAGGGCGGCGGACGCGCGGACGGATGGACGGATAGACAGAGGGACGGCCACACGACCAGACGCACAGATGGACAGACGGACAGACGAACGAACGGAAAGACGGAAGAACAGACGTACGGATGGATGCACCAATGGTCACGCGGATGGACGTACACAATGACGGACGCACGGACGGACGCATGGATGGAAGGAAGCAAGAACGAGTGGATGGACGGAAGCATGGACGGACTGACGAACGCTTCGTCCCACCAATCATCATTCACTCCGTTGATATGCTGTGATTGTTTAGTTTTTTTACTCAGGGGTAGGCAGTATTGTGACATAAGAGTACAATGATAGCATCATAAACATACTTTTGAATACTTCTAGTTCGCTATATCGAATTACATTTGAAAAATATAATACCTTATAAGTAGCGAAAATTTTTCCAATGTAGGCTTTATATCGCAACACTGTACAGCATGCGAAAATATTGATACTAATTTTTTTCTTGTTGGAAGGGAGATGGCGTGTTTTCAAGTGGCCGAAAATGACAATTTGTTCGAAGCCGAGGAAAGCTGCGCCGCCCACCGACAACACAGTGAGGAGAGTGAAGGAATACCGACATGAAAAGATTAGCTCATGTGGTTAAGCACCTGATGCTGCTGATGGCAGAAGTGCGGAGGTTGTATTGACAGCGTCTGCTGACGAAAGTCCGGGTCTTCTGAAGACATGCAGTTTATGTACCACCAATCTTTTTCGCTTGTTCAGATAATTCATAAGCCTTGTCTGGAGAACAAATTGAGGCTTGTTAGATGGCATCCTATGTAAAATACTGCTGTTGCTGAAGCGAAATTAACGCAGCAGCCTACTCAGCAAAAAAAAAAAAAGTGGGAAACAAACACATTCCTTAAATAATTAAGTAGGAAGGGTAGCGTAGGCGAGAAAGAAGCCACTGCCTTTTCTTTGAACCCGGAGTGGTTTAGGGGTCCACGTAGGTCGTTGAACTTTCTGGAGCTCTCCACTATACGGCATGCCTCCTAAAATCACGTCATGATTTTAAGACGTGTAACAACAAAAAATACATAAAGCGAATGAGTGTTTCAAGCTGACCACACTCTCACTTGGAGAGCGAATTAACGTAAAGAAGACGCCACACTGGACGGATCCATTCTACAGACATCTTCTATAAGCAAGGGACCTCATGAGCTGGCAATAACAACGAAAGAATGTCACGCGCTTGAAAGACAAGGTAACTGTAAAAGTGAAAGCTCATGCTTAGCTTGCATTGTGACGTGCCGCCAATAACTTTGACTGAACTTTCACAGATCGCGTACTCTCTAGGGGCAGCACCAATTATGTAAGAGAACAATGTTTTCCTTAAAGGAGAGAAAGCCCTAAATCGATGTTGAAAGCTACACGCTCTACTGGCCGTTTTCCTTCGTGGAGCAACGTGATATCACGTGAACCAACTCTGCATGTCACAACAATCGCAGCTCCCACGTCTCAAGTAGCGGGCATCGATCGCGCCCAATATGTAAACTGTAGAAGTAGACCAGTTGTTATGAAACCATGGCAGTAAGTAGCATGAAAAACAAGACGGGTTTTTGAGCGAAAAAGGGTCTGAGAAAATTTCTTGCGCACCATATTTTCGGGTTCTGTATGTATGTAGCTTTCAGTTCAGATTAAAAAGCTTAGTTGAAAGTCTGCGCTTGCCTTTGTCACCCCGGCGGCTTCCTTAGTGCATCAACTTGTTTTTCCGGCTAGTTACTGCAATGGGAACTCGTAGCGAAACCTTCATTAAGGCCCATGCGCGACATAGTTGACGGCTTGTTGCAAGTATTGCCATTGATTTAGGGGGGGGGGCAGCTAAAGCAATCAAAAGGTAAATAACTAAATATGACGTCACAACTGTAAGTGCGCTGTAGTTAAGTCGTGAAGTTGTACTACATAAAACGAAATTGATGTTTTTTTTTTCTAATGGCCGGTTTTTTACATGTTTTCAATAAATACGCAATTTCATTGCAACTTATAGCTCATCAGTTGCTTGTGTGAGAGAATGGGATGATAAATAAGCAAGATTGGGGAAGTAAGCTTCTTTTATCAGAAACTCGCAATATAAATAAAAAGCTTTGCATATGAACATAACATGACAACAGTTCACGAGCACAATAGTTCGAAAACGCACATTGCCCAATCGAGTAAAGCCACTGGTTCGACAGATCAGTCTTGAGATTATCACTTAGGAAACCTTTCATCGCTCAGCGTAGCTCACACACCGTTACGAAAGGCGAGGGCATGTCAGCCATGTGCCAGCGAAAGCTGTCTGAAGTCACAAGAGTATATCTACACATTGTTGGAGCTAGTTAAACCTCTATGAATTGTCAGGTCAGTAATCAACGCATAAAGAAGAACACCCGAAACCACCACGCAAAAGTGAGTGGTGCATTCTGGATCCGACAGCACGCTGAACTAAAGAGCAGCCAACAAGGCCGACTCTTGCATACGCCCACCATCTACGACGGTCGACGAAAACAAAATAAGGAAATAAAGTACTTATGCAGGTGGAAAAAGAAAACAAAGTTAATATCTAGTTTACTTTGGAATAAAAAAAAGTACACAAAAGAAAAACTACAGCATATCCACGGAGTGAATGATGATGTGTTAGGAGAAGCGTCCGCGCGTTCGTCTGTGCGTCCGTCCGTCTGTCGTTCCCTGCGTCCGCCCATCCGTCCGCCCATCCATCCATACATCCATGCTTTTGTCCGGGCATGTCTATACCCGGCCGTACGTCCTTGCTTTCATCTGTGCGTGCGTCTGTCCATGCATCCATCCGTGCTTCCATCCATCCGTGCGTGTGTGTCTGTCTGTTCGTCCGTTCATTCGTCCGCTCATAAGAGCACGCATCGAAAGGACGGACGCTTAGCCCCACCAGCGCCTCGCTGGCCGCACTCATCATCATTCACTCTATGGATATGCTGGCTACGCAAGACGGACAAGACAACCGACAAGTTCATGTTATAAGGTGATTTGACTCTCAAAAAGATTCGATTGAGATTTGAGTTTTGATTATTTCGCCCCCACTACTACTACTACTACTACTACTACTACTACTACTACGATAATGATGACGACGACTACTACTACTACTACTACTACTATTATTACTACTACATACGTTGGAAACGCATGACGCACGGCTTAAAAAGCTACGCCCTTAAAAGAAACAGAACAGCACAAACGCGGCGTGTATTTTTAGCAATAAACCAAGTACCATGCGCCACAACATTTCACTGAATTGAACGTAGCCGTGCAATAGTTTTTTTTCGTGCATGAATCGCAAAACATGCTCCTTCGTAGTTTTGCATTCGTGAACAGATGTCGACATGCAATCGCGACGTGGTATGCTATCCAGCGCGTCCAGTTCGACTGCTTATAGCGGCTGTTTTCCGGTAGTTGGTTGAACTACAGAACTACAGAACTAGGTGGAACACCACAGTGTTACCAACAATGTGGCCCGGTAACATTTAAAACTGCAACCCAAATCAAAATTTGAGGCTGAAGAGTGTTGACAGATAGCTGCCGATTTTAAGGGAATGTATCTGTAGGCACTCAAAGGCGTTCAGGTACAAACACCGAAATTGGCCCTTATAGGCATTGAAAACCAATATAGAAGTCACTATTAACCTTCAACATAGGTCCATACGCCAAAATAGGGTGAGAAAAGTACGTGGTACAAAACACACGTATGCCGCAACTACGGTCCTTAGTTATAGTATTCCCATCAAGTTTTCAGACAAGTGAGGACATGTCTCGAAATGGGTTCCCGCTAAAGTAATAAAAAATGAAGCCGTGCCGTCTCTTATATCAAGTATTCAGTCAATTCATTTTTAATTTTCAAGTTGGCAAAAAACTTCCGCCGACACAGAGATGACGGTAGGCACTGTGTAGCGTTTTTGTATTGCCTCTGTGCTACAGAGAAGAAACGCGAAGCAGGCACAGTTTAAAAGGCGTATGATACTCACAGGTACAGCGGTATTATGTTCACAGGTACTTTGTTATTGAATGCGGTGCTCGCTAAATACCTAAAATGTTTAAATACATCTTGTTGAGTCGAGCAACCACCAGGAAAAGAACAGTCGCAAGATGAGACGTGGGCGTTCACTCTCAGACAGTGCGCAAATGATTGGTAAAATATTTTCTAGCACTGTGCAGCGGCCTTTGGCTGACACCTTCCTGCTCCATCCCTCTTTTCTTCATTTTCATAAATTTGCGCCAGGTGCCCTCGAGGTCATCATTCTCAGCTACGAATTGAATTGAAATTCACAATAAAACATTGCGGTTAAGTAGATATCCTCATGTTTAGGCGGAACCAAGCTTTATACTTTCCTAGGAGCCATTTTTTTTCAACGTAAAGGTCTGATGTTTTCCCTTTTGGTGTTGTGCAGAATGCACAACAGGAGGCATTAATATTCCCAGATGAGACATCTCGTTCCGTGTATGGGCCTACTTATGATGCCCCTTCGACATGGCTTTTCGTTTGGCAGGAGTCAGCGCCTTGATTGAAGACGAAGCGTACTTGTTGCAGCGCTGTTCCCTGGTTTAGCTACCGGTGTTGCGTGTTACAGTTGCATTGGTTGCTTGCCGGTTGTTGACTAGTGTTTTCGCCCGCGCACCGCGGTGCGTTGGTTCTTGTGCGGGCCATGGTTCTCCATGGAAAGTTGAAGATTCGTATCCTGGAATAAGAGAAAAAATATTGTCAAATAACGCTACACGTCTCTTAAACAAATGAGGTTGACGATCACAATGCGAGGAAGGATTTTAATACCACCCCCTCTATTTATCACCACAAGGCACTTGATATAAACAGGGCATCGCATCGAAGAAATTAGTTCGTAAGGTAATGTGTTACCCACACATAAATAAGGTGCGCAGCATAGAGGGGAACAGGAGAAAGTAAACAGCAAAATTTTGATAAAAAGTAGCGTTTGTATTTTTATCTATCTATCTCTCTCTCTCTCTCTCTCTCTCTATATATATATATATATATATATATATATATATATATATATATATATATATATATATATATATATTATTGAGATCTAACAGACAATCATGCCAAGGAACGTATAGAGGAAGTGATTAGAACAAATGTAATGTAAATAAGAAGAAAGAATGCAAATAAGGAGAAAGAAAAGTGGGTGAAAAAATAACCAGCAGTGAGCAGGAATGGAACCTACCACCTTCGCATAACGCGTTCGATGCTCTCAGCACTGAGCTATTACAGCGGCCTTCTCCCCATCCACTTTTTTGCGTTTATATGTGAATTTAGATGTGGGAGTGTCAGTTAGCGCCATCTGTAGCGAAGTGACGAGTGTGAAACACACTTTTATGCGCCTGTGTGACGTCACGTAGCACGTGAACTTATTACGAGTGGTCAGCTGCCCCAGGTCGCAGGACCCGCGAATCGCGGGATTGATTGATTTGTGGGGTTCACGTCCCAAAACCACCATATGATTATGAGAGACGCTGTAGTGGAGGACTCCGGAAATTTTGACCACCTGGGGTTCTTTAACGTGCACCCAAATCTGAGCACACGGGCCTACGACATTTCCGCCTCCATCGGAAATGCAGCCGCCGCAGCCGGGATTCGAACCCGCGACCTGCGGGTCAGCAGCCGAGTACCTTAGCCACTAGACCACCGCGGCGGGGCCCGCAGGTCGCGGGATCCAATCCCGGCAGCAGCGGCTGCAATTTCGATGGAGGCAAAAATGCTGTACACCCACGTGTTCAGGTTTGGGTGCACGTTAAAAGCTCCTCGCAGTCGAAATTTTCGGAGCCCTCCACTACGGCATCTCTCATAATCGTATGGTAGTTTTGGGATGTTAGACACCACAAATTGACTGATTAACAATTACTTATTTATTCATTATTCAATCAATCAGAAAATAAGTCAATCAATCAGTAAATCAGTCATTCAATCAATCAGTTAATCATTCATTCAGTTGATCAACTGATCAGTCAATCAATCAGTCTATCAATCAGAACACTACCTTGGTTTGGTGTTTGGTGTTCAGCAGTCGGCTCCAGTATTAGCCGCATAATGCTTCCTACGTTCATCTCGACAGGAGCTAGTACAATCAAGCTTCCTCTGTGAGTGCGTATGGCTTCGGATAATTTTGAACAATTTAGAAAAGTTACCGCAGTTGTGATTAGGTACATTATGGCTGGTTTGCCTAAGTAAGCGATAATAAAGCCGTAATTTGAATAGTGATAGAGCTCCCATTTTTGCATATGTCCTGTCATTTGTATACCGCAACTCTTCTTGCTGTCACAAAATGTAAGCCATGATTGATAAGACAAAAGCAACAGCCCAAATAGGTCACACTTTTCCTAGATAATCAAGCCTTCTAGCTATAGTCACGCCTTCTAGCTAAAAGGTTGCTATGGCCACCGGAAGGTGCACTTTTATTACCTTATAGATATGTCACCTTATTACCACTCTTAATTACACTTACATGTTTGGTGTTTTATTTATTTTTACCGACACGTTCAAGCCATCACTGTTCGTAATCCCGGTCGTCCATGTGGCTAAGTTAGTCCATATATGTGTGGTAACTTGCAATTGTTTCCGAGAAAATGGTATTAGTCTCTTTTTTTTCACTTATTACTGCGAGGAGTGTTTTGCTTTGTAGCAGCGGCAAACAAACGTGTCACTCTCCGTTCACTTAATATGCCTCGATGTCTGTCACATTTGTGAAGAGCCTCAAATACGCTGCCCGTGGTCATTTCACAAGCGGCCCACGGCTTCACAACGATTAAAATGTTTGTAACTTCGTTAAGTGGTAGTCGCATTATTGATTAATAAATAGAAAGTAAAACGCTCTTTTTGGCTATGCTAGAGATACGAGACTGGTTTCAACCATTTATGTGAGAACCCACATGCGTTGAAAAAGAGCCGTGGAACAAAATTTTTGGATTTCAGAATCAGCGTCCAGATTTGGGTTGTTGGACAGATCTGTGTAGACATGTTTCTCGAACACTTACGCCAAAACCCCTACAGATAACGTTCTTTCGAATGGCAGCGTTAAGGGACAATTCGTGCACTTCCACCCACCTCCATCCACGGGCAGCTGTGTAGCAGGAGTACGACCTTCCCTAATTTGTCCTTGTTTCTCTTTCACTTTCTATCATGCCGTTATTGTTTAACCTTGCGCGTGGTGTCTACTTGCACCTGCTGTAGTGTTCTTTTATGCCACAGTTTGTTTTGTAGTCGTTTTTTAATCGTGCGCATTAGTGATTTTTGTTTTAGTAGATTTTTGTTATCTCTTGCTATTGTTCTTGATTTAAATAAATGCTTGTGTTTTACTAAGAAATTGTCCGTGTCAGCTCTATGAGTATGTCAGTCAGACTCAGACACCACTACTCGTTTAATTCCACACAAGTTGACGGACCTTCAAAAAAAAAAAAAATGAAATGTGCCACTTGGTTTCAGGGGCCGCAGGCTTCAACTTTAGGGCCGTTCCCCGCGCTTCCCGTACACCCACAACGCAAATGCCAGGACCCCTACCACACTCAAGTGGAGGACAAATAAGCCAATTGGCGACGCCGTTTCACCCTCCCCAGCGTCGCTAATTGGCTTATTTGTGCCCCGCTCGCGTGCGGTAGGGGTCCCGCCACGTGCGTTGCGGCTGTGAGGGAAGCGCGTGGAACGGCCCTAAAATTGAAGCCTGTGAGTCTGCCGCACGCCGCTTTTAAATCTGTGGCGCCTCAGCGTAAAACTGACAGGCAGACTTATAAATGTCTCAAAGAGCAGCCTTAAGGGGCTTAGCGGCTCAGTCATTTGTCTCTACGGCCCTTCGCATCATTTTTGAGTATGCTGAAATACCTACAGTGGCATTACGAATTGTAAATTGGTTTGTGGTTAAAAAAGAAGTGTTGAGAACCCGTCTCCTTTAGCATTTTTATGCTTGAAGGGTGCTAGTGGTGCTCTTTTTATATTTTATTGAAACTCATTAAGCTATTCGATCACTGAACGTAGGCGTTTTGTTATAAACTAAACGTCATACTTTATTTGCTCTTGCAATTGTTGCTTCGCGGACAGTCAGTTTTCATCATTGTCAGCCACAGTTTATAGTACTTCAGAATCATCGCCAGTAAACGTCAGATTCATTTTGCTTCAGGAATATTATTTACGATCATTAGCGTTTCTTATTACACATCAATAATTTACCTCACAGTGCCTCATGTGAGATATTACACAGATGGCTGTGTGACATATTTATCAATATATTCCTTTGAGCATTATTCCCGCCTAGAAAAGTAACTATTAACATATCATTTCGTAAACAAAATGCTAATGAACATCAAGTAAATCGAGATAGCGTAAGACACAGCGTGCAAACATAGCGAAAACAAAAAAAAGAATAGAGTAGATGTTTTGCACTGTGCATTGCCTCACGATAAATCAAAACCTGCTCGTCCAAGCGTCTGCTTTTATATTTATAGTCAATCAGTCTGGATCGAGTTTCTAAAACACCATTTCCCCTTCTGTCTACACTGTTTGTGAACACATGGCACCCAAACAAAGAGAGCTGCTAATAGAAATAATTAGGTGTCATTTTAACAGAACATATGCGCACAGTACAACTACAGGTAGCCTGAATCATTTCTTGAACGGCAAGAAGATGTGCACCTGTATTGCAAACTTTTAGAGTTTAGGTGGCATTTAAAGTTCGCGAGCCACTTTGTTACCATGGCAGATATTGAAATAGACCACAATTTTTCCCTAAAAGGTTTTAGTTCAAAGTAACTTTCTGAATACTGCCTCGGACACTTTAAAAAAAAAGGAAGTGGACTGGAAGACAGGAACACAAGTTTGCTCAAAATTCTCCCATTGTTATCACGGCGACAGGAGGTTTCTGTGTACTGTCGCATTTTTATAGTGCTACGCAGTATAGTCACACAATTCAAGAACTTGTAGACTAACGATAATGTATAACTTCTATTCGAATCGAAGAATGGTCTTTCAACTTACCTTCCGATCTTGGGGGTGTCCCTGCAGTCGACCCGTGATTTCGGCAGACACTTTTCATCTGTTCCATGTCTTCACTCGTGGCAACAATGAACTCGAAGGGAAAGCCGAGTCCAAGCTTCGCACTGTGGGAAACAACTCGTAAGCTCGGCAGCACTTCGACGGTCAGCTCGAGGGGCCCCAACTCCGCCAGCAGACGAGACGCGAGCGCAAGCCAGGCGGCGGCCAGCAATACCATCTCAGCCGCCTCTACGATTGCTTCCGATGCGTTCGATCGCTGTGCTGTCTCGTCGCCGATGTAGCACTTCCATCCCAATGAGCACCCGAAGGGGGCCACCATACTGGTTGTCGGGTAGCCACGCGACCGTGGAGGAACGCATGCGAAATGAGAGACGACGTCATGCACCGAAGCACGCGCTATGAGATCGACAAAGCGGCACCGCCTTCTGAGGCCGGAGACAGACACACTGTGCTCCTTGTACCGTAACACTCTCGGCACGACAACCGAGGAGCCGTCGTCGGGTTCACTTGGAGTGACAAGGCGAGCCATACGTGACGCGATCAGCTAGTTGAATGTCGTGCTTTCAGCCTCTGCCGGGTGTGCGTTATATAGTCTAACGATGGCGGGCATTGTAGCCCGGACACGCCTATAGTCGTGCGGTCGACACACGGAAGCCCCGTTTGATGGGGGTGGGTGAAAGCTAACATTTGTCGAGCAAACCTGTTAGCGCGACTGCAAGGCATCGGAGAGCGTCACGTGGGTACTCGGGATGTCCTTTCTGGTAGAGGTATACACAGCACGCGGTGCCGTAAAACTTTGAAATGCATACTGACTAGTTGTTAACCTCTCTTTCTTTTTTCTTCATTTTTGTGAGAAGTTAAGTGATGCGCCTAAGGACGCTATGCACGGCTTCCTGGTCTTCGCAAGTGTTATTGTATTAGACAGATCCTTCTTTTCCTACCAGCCTATTCTCGCATGCTCTTTTATATGCAAACAACGGTATTCTGTGACAGAGATAGAGAACATCTTGGTTTAAATCCAACCCCGATACGGGTCCGCTAAGGAGCACCGGGCCTATTCTGCAGGTACTGCGCTGACTCCGCAGCATAGGTATCAATAGGCACCTGTACTTGCTTAAGATTGCTATGTTTTTTTGTTTTCCTTTTTAGGTAAAAGAGATATTTCTATTTTTATGGAGCTACTAAAGATAGGTTCCTCAACAGCTTTGATAATGTCACCGCATATCTCTGATACAGAAACCTCAAAGATGGAATTAACACCTCCGTTCCTATCCCCTTGTTGTATTAGGCAGACTCTTAAACAACATTTTAAAAAGAAACGGTATGGCCAATTCATGGCTTTTCTATGTCATAATAAATTAAAAAAAAAACATAAAACGCACGACACGCCTCTTGCTTGATCTTTTATTCGCGTATAAGTTTATACGAGGTGGAGAAAGAGAGTTTCAGCACGTTTCCGCGAGTGTTTTGCCATAGAACTATGAATCATAATGCGTTAGGCTCTGGCCTAGCTACCTTAGCATTGTTGTACGAGGAAATATCTTTTTTAACAACAATACGCCGGTAATCTCGCCGTATGTGCATTTCAGCGATGTACATCCAGCCAAAATTCGAGTACAACGTATCTCACGTGTGCTACTGCTTCCATATAGAGAAGCCGACAGCTAGCCAGAGCAGTCCGTCTCTTACGGGAGTGAATGCCGTGGGTAGGAGACTATATGTGCAACTGCAGTCCCAGCGCGTGGCTTTCTCTACAAATTGCGCAACGCAGGTGCTCTGGCTAAGCATGCAGGTAAAGATAAAGCGCTCGTAATGAGTCTGTCACCGCGCAGAAAACGCGAAAACAAATAATAAATAAATAATTAAACGCTCAAAACGATGTCACCTCGGAAAAGTTTTCACAGTGTTAGAAAGGCTTCAGCAACGTTGCAAAACAAACATTTTGATTAAGTACGTCTTCCTTTTTTTTACAGAAGAACTTGCAGGTTCAATACTAGAAGGCTAAAAGGAAATACTAAAATGCTAAAAGCAAATCGAAATACAAAATACTTATTACTAAAGGCAATTACAAATAGAGTACTAAAATGCTAGTAGTAGTAATAGACTTCTATTCAGACACAATTTACAGGCCGAGCATTGCGACCGCCTCTGCGACCGGTCGACGCTGTTCTTCTTCCCCTTGGCGCCGATCCAGTCGAGCCAGGAGGTGATGGAAAGTAATGGTGGTGGGGGGGTAATAGCTGGATTGCTAAGCAGTTGGGCAGTAAAACAGGCAGTGTGACAGGTCGGCGTATGGGGAGGGGCAATAAGGACAGCAGGGGTTAGACCTATATTTATAAAGGAAAAGGCGAGAGGGGGTTATCAGGCAGTTCATTTGGATGTGCCGTACAGTTCGAGCCTCGAGCGCAGTGAGTGATGGTTGAGGGGGAGGGTAAAGACGCTTGTCGAGCCGGAGCTGGAGATACACCTCATTGATAGTGTGACGCAAGGAGATCTGCCCATCGTTATTCGCGGAGCTCTCACTGTCTTCCGAAGGTGTGGGCCAAGGAATGAACGGTGCCCGGTGCAATATATCGCGGGCAAGCTGATGAGCTAGCTCATTGCCGTTAATACCTGAATGCCTAGGAACCCAGCGAAGGAAGACAGTGGAGGGTTGAAGAGCAGCGGGTGCTCACTCGACCTCCTGTTGAAGAGCAGGGGGCAACGTGTTGTTCTGTATGTGACGGATGGCAGCGTGAGAGTCGGAGTAAATCGTGTACTCGGGGAGAGAAGGGAGGGAGGAAAATGACTGCATGGCGTGGACCATGGAAAAGACCTCGAGCGAAAGTACATTTGGCGGGTGCAAGTATGGCCCGCTGGTGTGCGTGTCAGGTGCTGAAAGGTGTGGATGGTAGATAACGTAGCCACACGAGCCCCGAGGAGCCATGTATGAGACATCCGTGTAGGCAACTCCCTGTGTAGAGAGAGGAAGAGAATGATGCTGTGTGGCCGCATGACGCCGGCCGGCGTGAAGAACGGGAGACATATTGGATGGGAGGGGAAGGATGCGAAGGTTAGAAGCAGCGGTGCAAGCGGCAGAAGGCAAGGTGGGAACGGAAACGGGAATGTGAGGGATACCAGCTTGGGCTAATAGCCATTGGCCTTGACGAGTGAGAGAAAGGCGGGCATTCTGAGAGTCGTGGTGCAGAGAAATAAGACAACGTAATGGATAGAAAAGTCCTGTGGCAGAGAGCTTAGTGGTAGAGGTAGTGACAGGGAGGTTTAGAGCTGCCTTGTAGAGGCCTAATAGAGCTCTTTCGAGTGTGTTGAGTTGCGTTTGGGTGAATTGAACGTAGGGTACAAAGTACAATAACTTGTTAAGGGCAAGCGCATGTGCAACCCGGCACGCATGAGCTTCGTGGAGCCCCGACTGCCGAATGACAACGCATCGCAGGAGGTGGGTCACCGAGTGGCAAGTCCTCACTGCGTGATGTAGATCCTGCGCGTTCTTTGTCGCGTGCAAAGGGAATCCAAGAAGTTTGCATTGCTGAACAGTGGAGATGAGAGAACTAGGAAGATGTAGGGAGATGAGGGTATTGTGGGAGCGCTGGTACGCAGACCGGTTTAGCAAAAGTAGTTCATATTTCTTTGGTGCAGGGGACAGGCCAGCAGTAGCGAGAAAGGAAGCGATAAGGTCCAGGCCACGTTGCAAAGTATCCTGCACGTGGCCGGGACATCCAGACGTACACCAGAGAGTGATGTCGTCTGCATAAATATTATGGTGGAGGCCAGGTATTTGGGACAGTTGAGAGGCAAGGGGGGCCATAGCCATATTAAATAGAGTAGGAGATAATACGGCACCTTGAGGAGTGCCGCTGGTGAGGGAGTGTGGTTTACACAAATGAGTATCGACTCTAAAGCGAGCAACTCGGTTGGAAAGAAATGATCGGATGTAAGAATACATGCGGGAGCCACAAGACAGGGAGGAGAGCTGAGCGAGTATGTGGTCATGACTCACGCCATTGAATGCCTTCCGTACATCGACGTTTACAAGCGCATGGATCTGACTACGAGAAGGTGAAAGAAAAGTATGCTGAAGAACAAGGAACATGTCCTGCGCACATACGTGGCGTCAAAAGTCAATAAGAGAAGGAGGGAAAAACTCTTTCGCCTCAATAACATCAGACAGTCGAGTCAAGGCCATTCGCTCAAGAGTCTTGCCAACGCATGACGTCAAAGAGATAGGGCGAAGGTTAGAGAGAGATGGAGGTTTGCCCGGCTTCGGCATCGTGCAAATTAGAGAGGATGTCCAAGAGCTTGGAAGACAGCCGCTGTTCCATGCTTCGTTGAATGTGTGTAGGAGAAATTCCTTCGCGTTGTTGGGGAGATTACGTAGTGTAGTATATGTTATCTCATCCTCACCGGGTGCCGAGCGGGTAGATTGAGTGGCTAAGGCAGCTTTCAGCTCCCTGAGCGTGAATGGGCGGTCCAGCTCTGGGTTAGCTTCGCCACAGTAATCTAGGTAGGAAAGTGTGAGGGGGGGTGGGAGATACAGAGATTTTAAATTTTCAAACACCTCAGATGGAGTCCCTTGAGCGAGAGCTTTAGCTAAGGTGGGAGCAACGGCAGGCTTGGTACCTAAGAGAGACCTAAACAGAGACCATGTAATGCGCAAGTGCAGTCCGGAGTCAAGGCCGTCACACAGCGTGTTCTAACGAGAGTGCTCGAGAGAAGTGCCGTAAGCGATAATTTCAGCCCGCAGAGCATCGATTCGGAAGGAAAATTGGACGCTGTGTGGCTGGGAGCGGAGAGCGCGTTTCAAACGTTGACGACGTCGCCATACACGGAGGAAGTGAGGATCAGGGTCAGGAATGGGGAGTTGAAAACGAACGCGGCGACTACAGGATGTCATTGCTGCGGAGATTCGCGACGTCCAGTCATCGTAAGTTTTAAATGAGTCAGGCAAAAGGTTATTACCGAATGCTTCCCAGTCAGTGTGAGCGACTCGTTGTTTCCGCCTATTGTGGGAAAGAGGGATGGTGATGTTTATGAGAAAGTGATCACTGAAAAGATTTTCAGCGGACACCTGCCAGTGAAAAGGAAGGGAACTCTGAGAGAAAGTGAGATCGGGTGTAGTGGAGCGCTGTGAAACAGTGCCCGCTCGAGTAGGGGTGTCAGGGGTATTAAGAAGGGTGAGATGGCGTTCCTGGGCGAGGCAGTGTGTTTGTGTTTTTTCCGCCCCCTATATGTGAAAATAACTAAAAGGAAAAAGGGGGTAGCCCGTACCACCAGGAGGTAT